CAGTTCCAGTCTGGCAAGATTCTAAAGTCACTGAACTGCTGTCTATGAAGATATGTTTGATTTTGCTTGGTTTCAAGAAAGCTTATAAATCTTTCTAACGTAAAGCATACCCATATGGAAAGGTAAGAGATTTTGTATTGAACACATTGTTAATAGAAATTTGCAGTTGCCAAATTTCAGATTGCGAAGGCAAGAAATAGGGAGGCGTGGAGACTTACTTTAAAATGGGAACTGGAATATGATCTCGTATCCTTTGATTCTCACATGTTACCGGATTACTTTCAGAGATTCTTCTACGGCATGACAAGGAAGCCATTGAGGTGGGGTTGCTTGAGAGTTAAGTAAGCGGAGTTCAAACAAACACAAAGCTTTTTGCATTGAGTCCATGCATGTCCTATAAGTCAACAGATGGACAAATCTTTATTTCCTATAGCTTTCTTGGGAAAGAAGAAAAATGCAGCAGCAGATGTTGATTGTTGGCTTCAGTGCACTGATAAATCATTCAGTTGCTTTATTTGGTTTAATCAAACGGATAGCACTGAAAATTATTTTAGTCAATAGATGCTGTTATTTATGGTTTGAGTTTCTCTAGTTTGGGAGAAAAATGATTGTTCTTTAGGATTCATATTAGAATCTCCCCTATTTACCAATTTGTTTAGCAAAAAATACTAGTTGGTTCTTTATTGTGCATTTAGAGAGCTGGCCCTTTACCTGCTTTATCCCCTCCTCAATCCCATCTCATGGTTGATGGCGCTGGTCTCATTTTTTGAGGAAACTGAATCTCGGACAAGTTAGGTGACTTCATGGCAGCCACTGTCCTAAACTGGGAGGCAAATCCTAGCCTGTCTGGCCCCTCAGTCTTTTTCCTTCTGAGCTTGTGGACTCTGGCCCCATAAGCTCCTCCCTTCATTCTCCAGCTCCCTGTGCCCCTTCTTGAAAGAAGAATGACAGGCAGCAGGGGGCCCATGCAGGTGTGCAGAGCTGAGCCCATCCCAGGAAATACCAGGGCAGCTTACTCTCATTCCACTCTCTCTCTGCCTGATGGGCCAAGGGATTCCTCATCCAACACTGCCTACTTCCAGTGGTTTCCTCACTGACACCCACCCACACTTTCCTGCAGATGGCCGTGACATTAACTCCCTTGTCGTGCCATTGGAGGTCATGTTAATAGAAAGACTAGCAAAGACACATAGGTAAAATCTGGCTTCAGCCTTTTTTCTCCTCACCGTAATAGACCTAAGTCTTGGTGATAAAGAAAATGGCAGTGGGACAGGAAGCTGGGGTCAGTCTTGACCGGAAGCATGGCAGTTGGGGTTTGGGGCACTACATTCAAATACTTATGTCTCTTTATTTTGGTCCTTCTGTGGCCTGTTGTCTCAATGACCTTTTTCCTTTTTTGTTTCCTTTCTTTTGTGAAGCAAGCCATGCTGAAATTATTCAGACGTCTAACACCATCATTTTGATGCGCAAACACATTAGTATGGAGAGAGGAGTATCTCGTTTTCATCAGCGGCAAATACTGTTAGCTTTGCTGCCCATTAAAGGTCTTCATAAAAATGCTAGATAGAAACAAGCCCACGTGAATCCAGAAGACCATCTCTCTGAGCTTTTCCCAATCCGAGCATCTGGTTAATTGCCCTTTAGCTGGTGGCAACGAAAGAACAGCAATAATGATTCCACATCGTGTAATTCAACATACGTCTTTTAGAGCTACATTAGGGAAATTAAATTTATGAAGCCATTATACAGGGGGAAAAACATGATCATTATAAATACTACAAAAATGAATGAATGAATGAATAAATAAATAAATAAATAAATAAATACTACAAATGATTACTTAAACTCCTATATTTAAGCCTTGGTTACTTTATCAATTTATTACTGTGCTGCTGAGTAAGCCGAACTTAGTGGTTTTGCATATGTGATCTCTTTGGAAAGCTAATGCTATAATTTTCTTGTGTGAGCATTCACAATAAAATTGATATTATGTTCTGAAGTCCTCCAGAATTTCACTCTGCCATGAAGCTGCTTCCTTTAATGATGAAACAAGCAGGTGTATGTGATTTTTAAAGCATCAAATTTCATCTTAGAAGCTGACATCGGAAACATAGCTGTTCCCTTAAATAATAGAATTTATTTTGGTGCCTTTTACACTTTATTCAGTAAGAACTAATGTTCCAAATTATTAAGAACCAAATCCTTAAAAAAAAAATCTCAAAAATGGGGATCCCTGGGTGGCTCAGTGGTTTAGCACCTGCCTTCGGCCTAGGGCATAACCCTGGAGTCCCGGGATCGAGTCCCATGTCGGGCTCCCTGCATGGAGCCTGCTTCTCCTTCTGCCTGTGTCTCTGCCTCTCTCTCTCTCTCTCTCTCTCTCTCTGTGTGTGTGTGTGTGTGTCTCATGAATGAATAAATAGATAAAATCCTTAAAAAAAATAAAAATCCCAATTTATTAAGAACCGTTGCTTTGGCGCCAAACGTGGCTCTGTTGACAAATGTTTTTTGGTGTGCATTATTTCAATTCTCCTCTTAATATGTAATAGGGGGGTCACCTACTAGAAACAATGATTATCCCAGAGCTAATAACAGTAGCTCTTCTTCCAGTTGACAGCTCAAGGAATTGGATGTTTGGCTTGCTGATCCTCTTAAATAAGCAAGAAATTATGCTGGATGGAAAGAAAACCAGTGCAGTGTCATAACTAGGAGGACCAGCTGTAGTTAGAGTACGTGACTCTCCTTAAATGATAGAACCAATAATCGTATACATTCAAGCGAGGGTGAAAAGGAAGTGAGAGAATGCACACAGCGCTTGCACGCCCGTCGTGCACCTGGTCCTCACTATTCGGCATCAGCTACAGGTACCGTTCCTGGCAAATCCGCAGTCAGGAGAGAAAAAGCTCTGGCCTCTGCCCTTAGGATTTCGATAATATCTCATAATATCCCTGGATGTAAGACGAGGTGGCTGATTGGCAGTTGACTTCTGGCCTCTCCACCCAGTTCACTTGGTCATTTCATTAACCGTGTGGTATGCGTGTGACCCACATTTTATTCAGTGGAATCGCTTGGACCTCACTTTTACGGTGTTTGGGCAAAGTTCTTCAGTAAGACCACAGCGTAGAAGCCTAGGTGTGCATGTAGACTTTTTCGAAGATATGAACAAGCAGGGGTAGTGAAGTGGTCTCTAAAGTACAATTCCTGGGATCCCTGGGTGGCGCAGCGGTTTGGCGCCTGCCTTTGGCCCAGGGCGCGATCCTGGAGACCCGGGATCGAATCCCACGTCGGGCTCCCGGTGCATGGAGCCTGCTTCTCCCTCTGCCTGTGTCTCTGCCCCTCTCTCTCTCTCTGTGTGACTATCATAAATTAAAAAAAAAAAAAAGTACAATTCCTTACTACGTGTCCCCTGCTTTTCCTGACCTATTTAAGAAGCTTTGGACAAAATGCTTTTCATGAAGTTCACATTTCTAACGGCTAAGTGGCTTTATTTACATTGCACTTGGCTGATCAGCAGGGCTTTGAAAAATTATTCGTATTTATTGCATCCCATGGATCCAAAATAGAAAGAGGTAGTAGATAAGAAGAGAAACACTAGCAAACATGATCCCGTTATGGTGGGAAGATTTTCTCCTTAGTCAGCATTGCTTCCATTTATCAGCCACTGATACCCTTTAAACTAATGTTTTTCTGATTTGCATAGTCTGCAGGTTTAATCACATTAAAAGCCTCCAACATGATCTCTCATGTCCCTTAAATAGACTCAACAATGCTGATCCTGTTTAAATTACAAGAAAATCACTGTGCAGCAGCCCAGGATCATGGGGAGCCTCCTGGGCAGGCCTCAGGAGGGCAGGCGCCAGGGAGGGGAGCAGGAGGCAGTGAGGAGGGGGGTGCAGCCAGTCAGGGCCTTTTTCAGCCGGGCCGGGCTGGGGGTGCAGTGCCAGGACGCACTGACCACTGGCTTGCGGGGACAGGGAGCCCGGGAGCTTTTCAGTAACGTTTCCAACACCGATGACAGTCTGCTCCTCCCAGCCTGTGACTCCTTCCTTCCTTCCTTCCTTCCTTCCTTCCTTCCTTCCTTCCTTCCTTTCTTTTTCTTTCTTTCTTTCTTTCTTTCTTTCTTCTTCCTTTCTTTCTGAGATTTTATTTATTTGACAGAAACAGAGATAGTGACAGAGATAGCACAAGTAAGAGAGGAGAGAAGCAGGCTCCCCCGTGAGCAGGGACCCCCACCAATGAGGAGCTCCATCCGAGCACCCTGAGATCAGGACCTGAGCCAAAGGCAGATCCTTGACCTACTGAGCCACCCAGGTGCCTGACACCCCCTTTTCTAGGGTTTTCTCAGCTTGTTTCACCGTTCAGGACTTAGGAAACCTCATAATTAATCAATTATTAAATATTAATTAGTTAATAATTAAGCAACCTGTTGCAGCCCCTGTAGGGCTCAGGGCAAACTGTCAGGGCAGGGTAGGATGGGGGTGTAGAGGGGAGACAGCGGGCTGGGCATGGGATGTGGAGGGTGCGTGTGCAGCTGCTGCAGGTGCCACACACACACACACACACACACACAAAGGGTTTTCTCCAGGTTCTGTTTGAAAAACCATGACACACATATTTTTGTGGCCAATCTAGGGACCTTAATCCCCCTCTTCTTTGGAGACCAGTTGAGGAGGTAAGGCAGTTCTGGGATATATCGGTTCCAGAAGATGCCCTGTAGCCTTGTGTGTTGGAAAGTGCCAGTCAGGTCCCTGCAGGTGGGAATTAGATTGTCCATGCTCTCTGGGGCAGGTGTCTCGCCCACCGCGTTGGGGTCTTCACGGCAGGGGTCTCGGCCACCAGGTCAGTGTCTCCGGGGCAGGGGTCTCGGCCACCAGGTCAGGGGTCTCCAGGGCAGGTGTCTTGGCCACCAGGTCGAGCTCGGCGTCACAAGAGCCAGTCGGCAGCATCCTTCTTAGGAGCAAGGCCGATGACTCAGGCTCCTTGTCTTCTGTCCTCCCCGCCAGGCTCCTGGGCCGACCGGTCCCCGCTCCACGAGGCAGCAAGTCAAGGCCGCCTGCTCGCCCTGCGGACGCTGCTGTCACAGGTGAGGTAGCACCGTGGGTTGAATGTGCCCCTTCCCACCACCAGGACAGGAACGTTCAAAGTAATCGACTCCAAAATAAATAAAGCGGCCTCCTAAATGTCACCGGTTTTTTTTTTTTTCATCTTAACCCCCATATCAGGCCCTGGTTTCCATTTATCTTCGAAATTTCCTTATACATATTTTGGTAGAGCCTCGTGCCTTAATATTTCAAGCTTCTCAGGGAGCCTGCAGGGCTCAGCAGTTGAGCCTCTGCCTCTGCTCCGGGGGTGACCCCGGGGTCCCGGGATCGAGGATCACGTCGGGCTCCCCGCAGGGAGCCTGCTTCTCCCTCGGCCTATGTCCCTGCCTCTCTCTCTGTCTCTCAGGAATAAATAAAATTTTTTAAAAAATATTCCAAGCTGCTCATACGGTATAGTTGTTCACGGGTAGACACATTTCAGCCAGAAGTCATGGGCTGCACGGATTATGCGTTAAGCCCTTCAGGTGTGCCTGGCTCCACCGTGTGTGCAGCTGATTGCAAAGGAAGTTTGAGTTATGCAATATCCAAGAGGCCCCATCAGAGCAGATGCCTAAGTAATCTTTTGTACATGAAGCTGTAGCCCGGGGTGGACTCGACGGAGGGGTCATCCCCCCAGCTCCTGCTCCCTAGCCCCATTGGAGGAAAGAGGGAAAGCGGGGATTCCTTACTGAAACAGAAAGTACTCTGGCCTGGCCTATGCATTTGTGAAATTTTCCAGCGTGACTCAAATGTAGAACGAGATCTGGAAGTCACTGACCACATGCTTCCCAGTGTCAGGGAGAAAGGGGTGCTCCCAGGTGGCTGAGAGGCAGGAGGGGTGGCCTTGCCCGGTGCACACAGCTCGGCACTGGGACTCAGGGCACAGAGAGTCCAGGCTGGTACTTATTGTGAATCACAGCCTCACCAAGCTTTATCTTCTTACCCATCGAGGGAGCCTGTGGGACCAGATGTCCTTTAGGGCTGTCCAGTTCCATCCTCACCGTGTGACCGTTTGGTTTGCATCATCACTTGATGGGGGGAGAAAAAAACACCTGCAAAAAAATGTCAGTAAATTTCTAAAGGTCACCCCTCCCTCCCCCTTGAAACGGTCATGCAGAGCTTCCTTAGGATATTTGTCGACAGGTCGCTCATATCCGCTGACACGCCTGCCAGGAAGAGTCAGCTGCCCCCAAAGCCTCAGGGTGAAAGGGAATGGGGCCCTTCCCACCCACTCTGCCACCTGGTCACCCCCACGTGCAGCGGTGAGGAATTGGCTCCTCCAGTCTGACTGAATGGCTGGACCATTCAAAATCTTTGAAAAGGGAACTTGAGAGATCTAAAAAGTTGCCACCTGCTAGTGGCAAAGATTTGGGCTGGTTATTTTCTTGCCTTCATTTTAAGAATCCTGGTGTCCATGCTGGCATGACAGACCGTGATGATCCTTAATACTCTCCAGGGATCTGGCCACAAAACCCTCCTACTAGGGTGCTCAGCATGATTGTCAAGAGACAGTGAGTCATCAAAAATGGCAGGAAGGCAAAGACTCTCTTGTCTCCATAATATTTCATTATTTTAGTCTGATATCAGTGGTTTCATGGAGTAAAGATGTTTAAAGTGTTTACTTGGTTTTGACTGGATAGTGAAGTACAGTGGCACACGCTCCATATGCTCCACACCGTAGCAGTAATCGCTTTACATGCATCGTGTCCTTTAATCCTCATGATAACTCTAAAATTTAGAGGTTAATGTACTCATCCAAATTAAAACAATTACTGTATTGTGTAACAGGGCTTCCAACCCAAGTGTAACTGACTCCATAATCGGAGCTCTGAACCACTAGTATAGACCTTTGTCACTCCTATCCAGCGACAGAAAATCACAAAGCAGCTTCCTACAATTTATTTATTTATTTATTTATTTATTTTTATTTTTATTTTATTTTATTTTATTTTAATTTTATTTTATTATTATTTTTTTCTTTTAGCTTCCTACAATTTAGAGTGTTTTTTTCCCCAGTCTGGACTAACCTCTAATTAGATAGCCCCAATTAAAACAAGTGAGCCAGCCTATAAACGGTCTTGAGTTCTACAAAAGAAAAAACAAAGCAACAATAACAATTGAAACAACTCATAAAGACCAACGAAAGTTAAGGAAGCAGAACTTAAAATACTCAGAATCTCGTAAACAAAATGCTTAAGGCGCTATGGGGTTTAGATATGGTGGTGGTGTAAGAATGAGGAGTTTCGACAACTGATTGGCATCTGAACTGGCCCCTCCTGTTGAATTTGAACCCGATTTCCTCAGAGTCTTTGATCTCACATGTCACTTTCTAATGACATTTATAAAGATGATTTCACATAACTTTTTGCTCATCTTTCAAAATTATTCATGTCATATTTAGGGTTATAATGTAAATGCAGTGACCATAGACCACATCACCCCATTGCACGAAGCCTGCCTCGGAGACCACGTGGCCTGTGCCAGAACTCTACTGGAAGCTGGAGCTAATGTAGGTACCTGCTAAAACCATTCATCATTGAACCACCTCTACTAAGAGAATTGAACAAAGTTCTCCTTTCGCTTTTCTTTCCTTCTTAGTTGTTTTCAAAAATAGTGGAATAAAAAATCATGTTGCTTCGGTCCTCTCAAGGCTCTCTAAGAAGGATTTCCCAATCATTGCAAAATGGGTAGCATGCTGCATAGTAACGTAGAACATTCTGTCAGTTCTTGCCTGCTTTCATGATTCTAAACAGCAACAGGTGGACCTCTTAGGTTTTCCCGTCTTTTGGATGATTTCCTTTAGATAAATCCTCAGAGAATTTCCAATTTCACTGATTTCCGTCGCCACCCACAAGATGACCTACCTCATCACAAACTTTTGACAACATTACATTTGCGGACTGTTTTCCCAATTGCAAGGCACCTAGCATTGAATTCGTTTTTGTGTATTTGATTCTTGAGTATGTATTTATTGTCATGACATTTGCTAGCTGTATGCCCACTGTTGCAAATTACCTACCACATTGTGTTTCTCTTTACCTCTTGGCCTTTAAAAGCTTTGCTTACTGATGTGTATGAGCTAAATATATGCTGTCATATTTACTGCACACGGTTTCCCAAGGATTTCTGGTGGGTCGTATAACTTTTCTGAAATGGCCTGCATCCAATCACGTTGGACTCTGAGTCTCATTCTTGGATTTTGGTTTGGTGTAGGTAAATGCAATCACAATAGATGGTGTGACTCCGTTATTCAATGCATGCTCACAAGGCAGTGCCAGCTGCACAGAACTTCTCTTGGAATATGGTGCCAAACCCCAGCTGGAGTCCTGTCTTCCTTCTCCCACACACGAGGCCGCCAGCAAAGGTAACTTAGTTCTCGGGTTACGTGACAAGGGGAGAAAGTCCCTTTAGCAGCATGCAGTGCTCCATCTTTCTTTCAATGAATCACCGCAGGGGACCAGCATGAGGTCAGGTGCCAGGGGATGGGCGTTGAAGAAAAGTAAACTGATATCTACTTTGTGTTGGCAGGTCATCATGAATGCCTAGAAATACTGATATCCTGGGGCATAGATGTTGATCAAGACATTCCTCACTTGGGAACTCCTCTGTATGTAGCTTGTCTGTCCCAGCAATTCCACTGCATCCGGAAGCTTCTTTATGCTGGTAATTTTCTTCAAAACATCTCTCATTCAGTCCATCCACATAAGCAACTATTCAGAATTCTATGGATTTCTCTAAATAATCAGTATAAAGATATCTTATTGTGAAAAATGTTCTTGGGGCACCTGGGTGGCTCAGTCGGTTAAGCATCCGACTCTGGATCCCTTGATCTCAGCTCAGTTTTTGATCTCAGAGTCGTGAGTTCAAGCCCTGCATTGGGCTCCAAGTTGGGTGTGGAGGCTACTAAAAACAAATGTTCTTTATTCTAAGCATTGTTGCATGTAAATCTATAACCAAGAATAAAAGAGCTGGTTCTTGGTAATTCTACTTCACCCCACAAGTCCCAAAGCCCTACTGATAAAGGTCATAAAATTTAAAAGCTCAAGGTTGAACATAATGTTGCCAGATATGTATCTATCCATGAATAGATACACCAAAGGAAGTTTTAGGGGTAGTAACCGCCTAGATACCTCATCTTGTCCCAATCACAAGAACTCACGCGCTTTCCCAGACTTTGTCCTGCCCTGTTTACCTAAAAAGACTTAATGGTTTTTCCTCTTACTTGAAACAAAGCAGGTCCTCATGGTTCAGCTTTAGCCTCCTGAGAAACATGTCCTAATCTTTTGAGACCATAGAGGCGTCTCCCTCTATAGGAATGAGACCTCTTTTAAGGATGTGCATTATGTCCATCCCCCCACCTCCTTTCCTACCACAGTGTCTCTCATGTGGTAGGTGCCTAAAATATCTGTAAAGTGAATGAATGGAATTCTGTGCTCTCCACTGTTTCTGCAATCATCGGGCCTCTGACATATAGGTTTAATAACCCCTGTGTGTGTGACTCACATTATCTTAGCTAAATTATAAGCTCCTTGTAGGCAGTTCTGATCTGCTAATAATCGTTGGCACATTGTTATTTTCTGGCTGTGATCTCCCATGAATTCATAGAACTATTTGTAGAACTTTAACACCTTTTTTCTTTTACTTTGCTACGAATATTATTCTTTCCAGCCAATATTTTATGTGGGGTAAAAAAAGATACTGAGAAAGTGCTGCTAGTGACTGTGGATTGATTGTTATTATCAGGCTCTGTTCTCCCATAAAATTGAAATAAGCCACAGAGTTTATGCTATCTCTGTGGAGATTTTGTTATGGACTATCATTCTTTCACTAAACATTTTATATTTGTTAAAAAGTATGAAAACAATTACATTTATTGAAATTTGAAAGTAGCAGGAAGGCCTAAGGGGACTCTTAAAATGTACATCTTCTCGTAAACATCATTAGTTTTATTGATAGTCTCAGAAAACAGAGTTGAAAAGGACTTCTGCATTTTTTACTGATAGATATTTCTCAGTGTCGTAACCACATATGTACTAGAAAATGAGATTATTATTCTTTCCAGTATTATACAGTATTTATTCATTGCATTCATTGAACGACCATCATGTGCCAGGGCTTGCACTAAGATACAATAACTATGCAATAAATAATTTAACAGGTAAGATTTTTTTAATGTAAGATTAAAAAAATTACTTTGCATGTAGAAATACAATGCGCTGGTCTACTTAAGGAGGCCCAATGCCTTTATCTATTTATTGACTCACGCTATACGAGTGAGAAGTGACAGGAAAATATATATTCATGTTACTTAAATGCCTCACATGTCTAGATTCATGAGTTTTCCAGGAAACAAAAAGAATTCTGTTGCCTTGGGACACTCCAGGTGGCTCAGTGGTTGAGCGTCTGCCTTCAGCTCAGGGGGTGACCCCAGGGTCCCGGGATCGAGTCCCGCGTCGGGCTCCCTACAGGGAGCCTGCTTCTCCCTCTGCCTGTGTCTCTGCCTCTCATGAATAAATAAATAAAAATCTTAAAAAGAAAAAGAACTATTGTCTTAAATGAAAAGAAGAGCAACCAGATCTTGAATAATCCTAAGAAATCTCAATCATGATGAAAAAGATAGAAGCGAACCTGATTATGTTCTGTTTATTTATTTATTTTTTTATGTTCTGTTTATAATACTAGTTAATATGATTACTTTGGGGACTTGAAAATTTTTTTTAATATTTTGTTTTATGGGATCCTTCAAACATAGAGAAAAAATATTAGAGAACATAAGCATGTGCATTATCTACTCAGATGTACCAACTTTTAAGATTTAATATCTGGAGAGAGAGAGAACGAGAGAGCAAGAGAGAGAGAGGGAAATAACTCATGACAGAAGGAGGGGAGGTCCTCTTGCTGTTACACCTTTCTACCGGCTCTGAGGTAGCTGACTGACCGGCCTAACAGTTTTTGTTTGTCTTTATCACCATTCCTTATTTATATGTAGGTGCTGATGTACAAAAAGGCAAATACTGGGACACTCCCTTACATGCTGCTGCCCAGCAGTCCAGCACGGAGGTTGTAAACTTGCTGCTAGAATTTGGAGCAGATATCAATGCCAAGAACACAGAGCTCCTGCGACCTGTAGATGTAGCTACTTCTAGCAGTTTGGTGGAACGATTATTGCTTCAACATGAAGGTAAGAGTACGGGGGCATTTAAAAACACAAAAACACATTTGCCTGAAATGGATGAGACTGAGAAACGTTTCGCTGGCGTGCAGAATGATGATGGTGCAACACTGAAAATACTTTGTGTGAAAGCAGATCATTTTTTGACTTAGGTTCTACCTATAAAGAAGATGTCACACACACAAAAAAAGATGTCACAATGATCTTCATTTTCCTTTTTTTTCCCATCTTACCTGAACATTGTATTTTAGAGGAATATTTATATCTTGGAGGGATATATCTCTTTAAAGAGATAGAGGAGGAGCAGACTCCCCTCTGAGCAGGGAGCTTGGGGTGGGAGGGGAAGGATCATGATCTGAGCTGAAGTCAGATGCTTACCTGAGCCACCCAGGCACCCCAATAAATAAATCCTTTTTTTTTTTGGAAAAGAACCCATATGGAATATACCACAATCATAATAAAAGCTTACAAATAACAGCAACATAAATGCTTATGCAAATAGCCCTGGTATAGTGGTCATACTACCCTACTTTGCTTCAAAGCACTGTGGTTTGTTTATGGCTTATTGCATGCATTTTACAATCTATAAAAATCCGTCCTGATCTTAATCAACAAATACTTTGCTGTCTTTTCGTAGCTACTCCAAGCACTCTTTGTCAGCTTTGCCGACTCTGTATCAGAAACTACATAGGAAGACCAAGATTGCACCTTATCCCACAGCTCCAGCTGCCAACGTTATTGCAGAATTTCTTACAGTACCGATAAGGCAGTAAAATAATTCTGATTACTTTCAAACTCATTTCTATTTCATCTGCATAGTGTATATTTCATATTAAAATACGCTGATGATAGAGTGCAAGTGAATAGGGGGCCCCAGGCAAGAGGTGAATTTAAATTTTAAGTGCACTAGTGAGTACTACTCTTTTATGCCTTTTTACCATTTTTTGGACTAGAGCATATTTAACATCCCTATATGTTGTTAGCCATTCCCATGTGCCTTTGGGATTGGGGAGGGAGGGAGGCAAATCTCCATTTTATGTCTTTTTAAAGCAAAAAAGAAAAATGTGAACTCGTACTAAAATCACATATTTAAAAATGCCTCCATTCTCCAAATAATGCATTAACTTTTAAATGTTAGTCACTGTAATTGATTATTTCTCTCTGTATTTTTCATATTAATGCAAAATATGAGTATGGTTTAGAAGAGAGCAACTAATTTCCTTTTTGAAATAAAGCTGTCACCCAGGAGCCCCGGTTTGTTGCATGTGCACCTGTCGTTCTGATGATAAATTCATGAAGAGCAAGATAAAGTGCCCCCTCCCTGCAAAGATCTCACTGTCGCTTCACCACCCTCAATGTCCCCATTCCAGAACCTGGTGGGTCTCCAATTATGGCTCCTCCCGGGTCGTCCTGAGATGGTTGGAACATTACACCCCTGCCAAGGCTATTTTAGGACCTCCTCCTTCTCCAGGGTAGCCTCTGAGGGTCTCTCTGCAGTGCTTTTGTACCTACACTCTAGCCTTCTTCCTCCCCAGAAACCATCGCTGGCTGGTGGTGCCAGGAACGAAGAGAACCAGTTTCATACCCGATTGATAAAGAGGCCCTGGGGGATGCTCCAGAGCTCAGGGCTGGGGAAGGCTGTGGAAACCGGAAGACCAAAATCTCCTTAAATTGTGGGGTTTTCAAAGAAAAGAAAAAGGGGGTGTCTCTTAGCCAACCAAGAGGGACCTTATAAAATTTCCCCCATGCACAGACCTTCCTAGGGCTATTTCCTGTCCTACTAACACAAAGTGAGGGCTTGGGGTAGGCTGTATTAGCAAGGGAGTGTAGAGGTCCAACGTGTCCTCTGCAGGGATTAATGCTGTGTTTATTGTCTTCTGCTTTAACTGTACTTCAGGGCAGGAGAAAACACAGTAAAACAAATTTTGTGCCTCCTTTGCAATTTACACTAGATTTGAGGCCATCACAGACTAAGAAAGAAGATAATCCGGATACTTAACAACTGTGTGAAGTAGAAAATATTTTGATGGGTTTTATAAGCTTAACATATTTTGATAAAATATTTTGACCACTATTTTAATAACCCAGGGGCTTATTTTCCTTTCTTCTTAGTTCTTGGCTGACTTTTGGAGGCCCATGGGAAAGAAACTATTTTGAATGTAACCCCAAAGTCACTAAGATTGCATTTATAAAAAACCATGTTTAGATTTTCAAAAATAGAAAAAGATGCAACAAAAATAGAAATAAGGCTGTAGCACGTTTGTTTAAAAAAAAAGTCTTCTATGTGGCTACAGAGTTTTATGAGTCTATTTCACGAATATCTCAGCCTAACAAATTTGTAATGTCCTCATGAATAATGTGCATTTAGTTTCTTTATTATAGAGTAACCTCCTTACATATGATTAGGTATTCAAACTCTTCTAGTAAAACAGGTTTCTTCTAGTATTTTCCCTGAGCTAGAGGCAGTCTTTAGAGTGTAAGGTAATATAATTCATCCCTTTTCATTGTGATTTAATATTATAAATATCAAATATTAAAATTAAAATTGACACTTTAAAACTTGAGTATGCTGGTATCTTGTATCTTTGCTTGAGTAGGACTGTCTTATCAAAGAAATGTTCTAATTTAAGTATATCATTTGTTTGTTAATATATTAAAGTGTGACTACTCTCCCTGGAATAAAACATCTTTTCTTTTTTTCTCTTCCAATTAGTATTTGATTTGCTAATTGAAGGTCATGGAGAATAAGATTCAATTGCTCACATTTTTTCCTCCTCCAGTTTTCAAATCATTGAATTAGGAGTATTAAGATTAGAGTAGTGCACATTGAAATAGATACCTGGAAGGTCTCCTAATCCGAATCTTATTATGTGTGTGTGTATCTGTGTGTGTGTGTGTGTGTGTGTGTGTGTACACATAAAGATCCAAGGAAAAAATTCTACAAAGGCAAAGACCAAGCCAAACCAAACTATTTGACGTGAGATTGAAGAATTCTAGTGAAATAATCATGGTATCAAGACACTGCTGAAACTTTTATTTTGTAGGAGAACCTATTTCATTTCAATTATCATTTTAACCACTGAGTATGTTTGATGTTTCAGAAGAAGTTAAATAGAAACGGTGTGAATGGAGGGGCCCTTGGGAATAGAAGGTCCACAGGTACTTACTGTGTTCCCCCTTCTGTGAAGGCCCTGAACCCAGCTGACCCTGCTTATCTATTTACAAAGTAACTTTATAAATTATTCCCTCTCCCTCGGCTTATCTTCACGTTTTTCCTTGAAATTTTCTGCTTTTCTTATTTTTATTATCATTTATAATTAGTTTCTTTTAAGGCCTACCCTGTCCCTTAGAAACTTGAATAATCATCTTCAGATTTTTTCGGTGTTGATGATAGGAAGTTTATTCAGAAACTTCAGGTGAGTTATTACCCTTCCATCTGCTGTAGGGCCTACAACTCACTTCAGCTCTGGAGGTCTCCGTTTTTACATTTTTTAAAATGATAGGTTAAAATAGGTCAAAAATGATTTTTTTAAAATGATAGGTTAAAATGATAGGTCAAAATGATTACCATTTTGGATAGTGTGCTGGAATTCAAGGAATCTTTTAATAAGTAACTTTGGAAATTCAGATACATTTTTCAAAACACGTTTGGTGTATAAGAGACCTATGGTGTAGGTACAAATTTTATAAACCACATATTCAGGTGTACAAAAGGCAACTTTATTATCCTAGTAGAACTCCCTGGTTATCTCAAGCTTTCCTTTCACCCAGTGAAATCGGGCCACTTTGGAGTGACTCATTCGAGTCACTGATTTCTGTCCTTTAAGTACACTTTTCAGATGAATTCAGTTAATACAAGCCTCTTTCTTCCCACTCCATTTCTTGCTGGGGGTGGCATCTGAATTCCAGAAGATTCTATGAAACCCACATTTTGGTGGGAGTGTGCATTGGCCAGTGTCTGTCCTCCAGAAGATTCATGTGTGTCAGGAGAGCGAATGTTAGACAGTGAGCAGGGGACAGATCACGAAGGGCCTTGAGAAGGAAGCTCACGGTAGGAAAGTCAAAGGACAATCATCATATTGTTTCATTGGACTATAGGAAATAGTGGAAGGGATTATAAGGGAAAGGAGGGGGACTGAGTGAGGAAAATTAGAGAGGGAGACAAACCATGAACGACTCCTGACTCTGGGAAACGGGAAACAAAGGGTTCTGGGAGGGGAGGTGTGCAGGGAAATGGGGTAACTGGGTGACGGGCACTGAGGGGGGGCACTTGATGGGATGAGCACTGGGTGCTATACTATATGTTGGCAAATTGAGTTAAAAAAAAAAAAAACAGGCTTGATTCTCCCTGAACTCATCTGGCCTCCTTGCCTTTGCAAACCTTGTTCTCTCTGCCTGGAACACAACCTGCTCCATCCGCTACCTTGTATGGCCATTTTCCCTCCATCCAGGGGCTAAAAAATGACTCTTTCACTCTCAGTTGCAAGTCTCCCTATTTGAGAACAGGTTGTTTCCTGTTCAACAAAATGTTTATATCAAGTAAAGCTCTCTGAATTTTCTCTTGATAGGTGATAAGTCAGAAACAACTACTGACTTTTTCTTTTGAACATTTTATTTATTTATTTGACAGAGAGAGAGAGAGAGAGAGAGAGCACAAGCAAGGGGAGTAGCAAGGGCAGAGGGGGAAGCAGGCTCCCCAAGAAGCAGGAGACCTGAGGGTGGGGCTTGATCCCAGGACTCCAGGATCATGACCTGAGCTGAAGGCACTTAACTGAGCCACCCAGGTGGCCCCAGCTACTGACTTTGATGGTCCTTTGGCCTGTGTGGAAGTTGGGTGGACCTTAAAGGGTGACAATAAGTGATTGTAAACTTTATCAGGCAGTTACTTCAATTAGAGCTGCTTTTCCATTTGAAGTATCTTTACTGGAATAATCGCCCCAGTCCCTAGCAATTGATATGCGGCTCCTGATCTGGAAAGTACCTTACCCGCCCTCTAACAACCTGCAAGAACCACCAAAAGCGGCCTGCCTTTACTGAGCAGGCCCAGTAGTGCACATTCATGATCTCACCTTGGGTCAAGGCGCTTTTCCTGCCTCTGCCACACGATCAGCAGAGGTGGCTGAGGGTCTTAACACCCCGCAGAACAGCCCATGGGCCGCTCTACTGGTGACAGCTTGCTGCCTGGACCTGGTGAGCAGAGAGCAGCACTAGCAGGTTCCTCGGCTGCCTTAGGCAGACACAGGCCAGCTGGTGGCAGAGGGAAGCATCACTCCTCCTGTGAGGCAGTGTCCCATCCGGCCCCGGGCAGGGAGACAGAAGTAACTCCACAAGTTAACCAACACGAACTGAATAGAAGCAAATGGGGGAACAGATCCGGACAAGGGAAAAACTAACACTGCAAACGTCAAACTACCAGAAATAGATGATTCGGGAATCAACTGCCACTGCTAGGGAGCAGATTGAAGAAGCTAGGGTTAGAAGAGCCTAGAATTTGGAGGAAAGTTCTATAGAGGGACTTCGGAAAGGGGAGAGTCACTACACAGCTGGTGCCAACTCTTCAGGAGCTCCTGGAGGGGGGTGTCCCAGAGTAAAATCGGGGACCCTTTAAGGAGGGCCACTTCTCAGTACTTGCTAAACACCCAAGGGAGGATGATGAAATCGTCTCCAGGGGAGCTAAAAAAAAAAAAAAAAAAAAAAAAAAAGTTGGAGAGTGGAACCAGTTGCCCTTGCCAGGTTAGGCTTTGTGGCCCTGGTGACACCCGTGTGCATGCAAGCAGCAGGGGAACAGCAGGTCACATTCCCTGCCCTGCCCCTCCTGGCCTCCTGCTACCTCCCCCTATCGTCAGAATTTAGTAAAACTTTTAGCAAAGGCGAAATCACATCCTGGACTTCCAACAAGTTCAACCCAGAAGAGTGTTTGAAACAGAGGTACCTGCTTACCAACTGGCACATTTATTACTCGAAAGTTCTGATTCTTGGCAAGCCTCAAGCCCTAATCGGCCTCCTTAGCCGTTACTACCTAAATCCTGGGTTAGAACTCATGCTGAAGCCTACATTCTCTAACCCTAATGATGAGTTATTTCCCAAAACTCATAAAAAAAAAAAAAATCTCATGTCACAGGTTATGTCATCTGTGCTTCTGCTCACAGTACTCACTCTGTGCAGAACGGTCCCCGTCCCCCTCATCCCACAGATTTCCACGATTGTCTCAGAAACAATAATTTATAGGAACTAAGCACTTGCTACGTGCTGCCCGCTGTTCTAGGCTCTTTGCTCTTTTAACTTGTTTATTTAATCCTTAAAACAACCCTCTGAGGTAAGCCCTATTTATTTCCTCCTTTTACAAATAAAAATGGTTATATAACTCGCTCAGAGTCATATAAATAATAAAAAGTAGACCTGGTGCTCCAAAGCCTCTGTCATCGACAATTTAAAACACTGCCTTATAAGATCCAAATCAAAGGTCACCTTCTCTGAAAGGACTCCTACAGTCCCTTAGGCCAAATTATTTGCTTCCTCCCTAATACTAATATATTTTTATCATGGCAGAGCTTTTCAGCGTACATGATATTTTTACTGATATTTATATCTGTGTACCTTCTATAAATAAATAATCTAGTGCACAGCGGTCTAATACAACCTCCTGCCATCACAGTGTTGCATCCTGCTGTACAACACAGGTAGTCACTAGCCATATGTGGGTATTAAACAGTTGAAATGTAGCCAGTATTACTCTTTTATTTTATTTAAATTTGTATCTAAATAGCCACAGGTGGCTAGTGGCTACAATATTGGATAGTGAAGATCTAGTGCATAACATAGCACAGGAGGGTTGCTAAAAAAAATTCACCAAATGAATGAATCCTTCATGAAAAGACTTTATTGGGCAAAAAGAAAACACCTTCCTAATTTCATTTTTGTTTTGCTTTCAAACCATATACAGGCTCATATTGGTTTACTTTATTAATAAATGTGTATATGAGTAAACACTCAACAAAATATTATATAGCTCCACTATGACGATCTCTTATTTTATCTTGCATAATAATATGTATCTATATGCCACACTGATTTTTTTTTGGAAACTTTTTAAAGTATTTTAATCACTTTGTTGTGTAAATATTTTAATTTATAACTGTCGATGCTGGCTCTGCAGTCATTTTCCCCCTCTGCATCGTTCACTGAAAAATCCCAAAAGACTATTAGGTCAGTGCCTGGCACCTACCAGGGACCCAGATAATTGCTGAATGAATGAATCCTATATACGAGGACTTTGTGAAATGCGAAAACTTACAAATTATTTTCGAATATTACGTAACTTTCATGAACGCTTAATGTAATAACTAAGGAAACATGTTAAATCTGCAGACGTTAGACGTTCATTTTAATTTCGAAAATTTTTTCTTTGGCATTTTGGAGCAAATACTCTATTATTTCCAATTTCTAGACAAAAACTGTCATATCTCTTGGAGACTCCTCATACCCCCAAAATGTTGAACTTCCAATAGGACTTTGGGCTGAAACCACAATATTTTTTTTAGGTTTTTATTTATTTATTTTTTATTTATGATAGTCATACAGAGAGAGAGAGAGGCAGACACATAGGCAGAGGGAGAAGCAGGCTCCATGCTGGGAGCCCGACGTGGGACTCGATCCTGGGTCTCCAGGATCGCGCCCCGGGCCAAAGGCAGGCGCCAAACCGCTGCGTCACCCAGGGATCCCTGAAACCACAATATTTTAAAAGTAAATTTCTAAGAGCAAGAGGTTTGGAGGGAGGCTCTAAATTCGTTAGAAGTGAGGCTAACTACAACTAGGATTGAAAGCGTCCACCCAATGAGGTCAGGGATCCTGTGCTCCAACCCAAAGCAGCTCCCCAAACTGGGGGACCCTCGAGGCCCTGCTGAAGCCCCGCCCACTCTCAGGCCCCGCCCATCTGAGGCTCTGCCCCGCCCATGAGGTCCGGCTGGCCTCGCTGAGGCTCCGCCCCCACAGGCTCCGCCCCGCCCACGAGGTCTCTCTCCCTTCGCTGGGGCCCCGCCCCACAGGCCCCGCCCCGCCCCACCGGCTCCGCCCCACCCACGAGGTCTCGCTCCCTTTGTTGAGGCCCCGCCCCCACAGGCTCTGCCCCGCCCACGAGGTCTCTCTCCCTTCGCTGGGGCCCCGCCCCACAGGCCCCGCCCCGCCCCCCCGGCTCCGCCCCACCCACGAGGTCTCGCTCCCTTTGTTGAGGCCCCGCCCCCAAGGCTCCGCCCCGCCCACGAGGTCTTGCTCCCTTTGCTGAGGCCCCGCCCCCACGGGCTCCGCCCCGCCCCACAGGCTCCGCCCCGCCCACGAGGTCTCTCGCCCGTCGCTGAGGCCCCGCCCCACAGGCTCCGCCCCGCCCCACAGGCTCCGCCCCGCCCACGAGGTCTCTCGCCCTTCGCTGAGGCCCCGCCCCACAGGCTCCGCCCCGCCCCACAGGCTCCGCCCCGCAGCAGATGCTGCCATAGAAACCCAGAAAGCGCCATGGCTGCCGCGGGCCGGAGAACACGGCCTGTGACACTGCCGGCGGCAGCCCTGCCCGGGTCACCGTCACTTTCACCGCAGCCAGCAGCCCCCGCCCGAGGGAAGCCTAGGAAATGTCTGGTGTATCCGCCTCCACCGAAGAGCTCCCGCCTGTCCCGCTCGGTCCTGCGCTGGCTCCAGGGCCTGGATCTCACCTTCTTCCCCAGGAACGTCAGCAGGTGCAGGAGCGAGGCTGGGCGGGCGCCGGCCGAGCATCCCGGGGCCGCCCCCTCGGCTACCCGCCCGCCCGGTGCAGGTTTCCAGCCAGACCCCCGGGCTGGGCGCACACGCAAACACCCCGTCCCCGAGGGACCCCCCCCCCCGTAGTTATCCACTCAGTCCTTACCCCGTAGACGTGAGCTCATATAGAATGCCCGGGACTGCAAAACCTTGCATAGGCAAGGCTCTCCCTTTAGAGACCCTGGACATCAAATACATACTCGTGGGGATCAGTTTACCCTCCGGAAGGCATCTAGTTTTTTTCCATCAGGGATTGAAAAAAGGTGCTGCTCCACTGCAGCCGCCCTGAGCCTGCCAGGCTGCATATCTGCTCCGGGAATGCGAGCTGCCTTCCCTGCACGTGAAGACGGTGACGTGTTTTGCAGCCAAGGACTCTGGTTTACTGATTTCAATCTTCCTTAGTAAACACGTGCCTGAAATTTTCAATGTGCGTGGGAATCCGCTGGGGATGGTGCTAAAACGCAATTCGGTACAAATTAAGAGTGTGGGTTCATAAACAGAACACCCAAGCCTTTGCTGTGTATCTAACCTAATCAAAATTCTGTCCCGTGGCAAGTCTTCCTCAGGGCGATGATCCCACAAAATTAATCTTATGAGTGATTTGCTGTTAGTATGGAATATTCATTCGGTGTTGGTTGATCATAAACTACCACAACTGCAAAAGTAACTACATTTTATTTCATTTCCTTAATGTGACGTATGGACCAGGGATTTTTCCAATGGTTTCCTGATTGCAGAAATATTCACTGCCTACTACCCCAGGGAGCTTAAACTGTCATCTTTTGAAAACGGAACTTCTTTGAAGGTCAAGTTGGATAACTGGGCTCAGTTGGAGAAGGTAAATTAGCGCTCACTGACGCTTTGCTAAGAAATGGGTGTTTTTGAAGGTGTACTCCTGAAGTCTGGGCTACCTGCGCCAGCCTGGACGGCTGTGCTACTGAGCTGGCCTCAGTTTCCCTGTGTTGAAAAGAATGTTGTGAAAGTTTGTCACAAGTCCCTTATGAAACCGGGCACACTCATTTCAAATTGGAGTGGGATGGAATAATTGGTTTTCTCACTGAAGAACAATATCTTAATAATTAACATGTTAAACACACACACACACACAATTTAGTTGAGAGACAACAGGGGGATTAAGGTGAATTCATAATTGGACATGTGTCTAGAACATCATATTAATGAAAATTCTTTCTTTCTACTATTAAAGTTCCTGGCAAGAAAAAAATTTAAACTACCTAAAGAGCTAATCCACGGGACAATTCACTGCAAAGCCGGAGTACCAGAAATCCTGGTCCAAGAGGTTTATACTTTGTTAACACATAGAGAGTAAGTCCTCTGGAATTGTCTAGTGACACAACCCAACGGGAAAATTGGATACGATGGGTCTCTTTACTACCATGTGGCTTGTCAACACTATTTTATTTATTTTTTTTATTTCCAGAATTAAAAGTATCCAGGACGACCTCGTGAATTTCACAGACTACAGTTACCAGATGCGTTTGCCCCTGGTTTCCAGGTCGACAGCTTCAAAGTTGATTAAAGATAACATTAGGTTGTCAGAATTAATAAGCAATCCCAACATGCTCAGCAACGAGCTTAAAGTAGAGTTCCTCCTACTTTTACAGATGTTGCAAAGAAAATTAAGCAGAAAGTTGAATCCAAGTAAGTTTTCCTTTTTCTTTGGAAATAGTCGATGAAGTTCTTCCCAAGTGAATGAGGCCATACTTGAGTGCAGATGAAGGAAACGATGGCCATCATCTGGCCCATTTCTGCTTTTTCTGTCACTGGTTTAAAGGGAAAGTAGTTCTCTTATGGCGGCAGTGGAGTGATTTATCATCACTGGAGTGGTTTATGTAATAGTCTTTTCAAACGCAAGCATAGCCTAACTTAGTGTATTAGTACTTTTTATTGTATTAATACTCAATCACATGAGCATTTTTTAGAAAAAATGTTAGGGCATATGTTCACATAGAATTTTGTGGGAAATAAATGTCACATCTCATCTCAAGCTACTAAAGAGATGGGACCCCTTCAGAGTTTGTCAGGATGCTTCAGGAAAAGCTGGATTCCTGTGATTCACTCTAGATGCTCTCTAGAGTATGTCCAGTGTCCCCCATTCCGTAGCAGGCTCCATATGGAGACTGGGTAAGGTGAGGCAGATTGGGGCAACCTGTGGCAACTTTCCAGAGGCATCACTGAAATAATTCTCAAAGCATCCACAGCATTTGCCATCAGAGTCCCAACAGATGACAAACAAAAGAAGTGAACTTTCTCTCCTTTGGTTTTACTTTTCTCACACTTACTCAGGACACCACTCATGTCTTGGAATTTTATAGTCGTTGATTCTAGGCACTTAGCGACTTTGTCATGGCCATGGCACACGGAGCACTAAAGAATGAGGCCACTGTAGTCCTTAGGATTTCTCTCTCTCTCTCTTAAAACTCAGTTTTCTGAAGAAAAGAGACATTTTTCTCTCTAGTCTGGAAGGAAAGGAGAGCAGTTCACTGTAACTTCCCCTTCAAACTGTGAGTTGGATATTTTGGGTTTTGTCCTCTCTTACTCTGTTTGTCTTCCATGGCCTATCATTTTTTGTGTCTCTTCCTTGATTTGCTCTCATCTCTGGCTCTATTCATGAATTCATGAGTAGAGAAAGAATTGAAGTTATTAATCCTGTTGTAGAATTTTATATTCAAATTCTTTTGTGTATTTAAATATTAAACTTTTGCTCTGATTTTTGTCATGCATGCATATAATGCGAATGTGTAATTTCAAGAAGACAATGAATAAACATTTTTTGTCCCTATGTAGTCTCTGAAATGGCACATGAACAATACCTTTCCATTCTGCTGGTGTCCTTCTTCCTGCATTCTCCATACTTCCCTCTGAGAGAGATCATTGTCCTGCTGCCTTTGTTTATAATTTCCTTGATGTAAAAAAAAAAAAGTTTATGCATGCAACTTTTCTTCTTAATTCCATTCATATATATTTCTTAATTTAGATTGTATCAATCTTTGTGGTAGGCAGATTGTTCCTATTGTTGTTGTGCCCTAATCACTGGAACCTGTGAACATATTGCATTGCGTGGTAAAAGAGGCTTTGCAGAAGTTGCAAACCTTGAAGTAGGGAGTTAATGCTGGATTATTCGGGTGGGTCCAGTCTAATCACATGAACACTTAAAAGCAGAGATCTTTCTCCAAGTGGAATCAGAGCAACGCAGCAGAAGTGGAAGTAGAAATGATCTGAAGTGTGAGAGGGCCTCCACCTGCCATGGCTGCAGGAGCCATTTGGAGAGCACAGGAAGGTATGGGCATGGCCTCAAGGAGGAAAGAACAACTGCAGAGACAAAAATAGAGACTTTGGACCTGGAAGTGCAAGGAACCAAATTCTGTCAAAAACCTGAATGAGCACAGGAGAAGATTGATCTCCAGGGCCTCCAGAAGGAATGCCGCCCTGCCAACACCTTGATTTCAGCCCAGTGTTGAGACTCTAAAAAGAAGCCCTCAGACTTCTGTACTGTGGGATAAAAATGACTGTTGTTCATACGTCGCCAAATTTATGGTAATTTGTTAAGGCAGAAATGAAAAGCAAATACAAACTTCATAGTCAATACTGTTGGCATCATGGGGTTATAAAAATATTCTCCTATATTTAAATTGACTAAAGTTTAGCCTCTCACTTTCATCTTTAAAATTTTAATTCCAGTAGAGTTAACCTGCATACAGTGTTATATTAGTTTCAGGTGTACATTATAGTCATTCAACACCTCCGTACAACATCCGGTGCTCATCACAAGTGCACTCCTCAAGCCCCATCACCTTGTCCCGGCCATCCTGCACTCACCACCATCCCCCCACTCCACCACCCATCCACCTCCCTCTGGTAACCTTCAGTTTGTTCTCTAAAGTTAAGAGTCTGTTCCTCAGTTTGTCTCTTTTTTTCCTTTGCTCATTTTTGTTTCTTAAATTCCACATATGAGCAAAATCATGTGGTATTTGTCTTTTTCTGACCTATTTCGCTTAGCAGGATACTCTCTAGCCCTATCCACACTGTTGCAAATGGCAAGATTTCATGCTTTCATAAAGGTTGAGTAAAATCCCATTGCGTGTATATACCACATCCTCCTTATTCATCTTTCTATGGATACTTGGGATGTTTCCACAGTTTAGCTATAATAAATAATCCTGCAATAATCATAGGGGTACATTAATCCCCTTGAATTAGTGGTTTTGTATTCTTTGGGTAAATACCCAAGAGTGTGATGTGATTAGTCCTGTTTTTGAGGAACCTCCATACTCTTTTCCACAGTGGCTACACCAGTTTGCATTCCCACCAACAGTGTTAGAAGCTTCCTTTTGCTCCAGATGCTCACCAACACTTGTTTCTTGTGTTACTGATTTTAGCTATTCTGACAGGTGTGAGCTGATAGCTCACTGTAGTTTCGATTTGCATTTCCCTGATGATGAGTGATGTTGAGCATCTTTTCATATATCTGTTGGCCAGCTGGATGACTTCTTTGGAGAAATGTCTGTTCATGTCTTCTGCCTTTTTTTAAATTGGATTATTTGTTTTGGGGGGTGTTGAGTTGTAGAAGTTCTTTATATTTTTTGGATACTAACCCTTTATCAGATAAGTCATTTGCAAACATCTTCTCCCATTCCATTGGTTGCCTTTTAGTTTTGTTGATTGTTTCTTTCACTGTGCAGAAGCTTTTTATTTTGATGTAGTTCTAAGAGTTTATTTTCATTTTTATTTCCCTTGTTTCAGGAGACATATCTAGGAAAACGTTGCTATGTTAGCCTTTCACTTTTAAAAAATTTTCAACTTTATTGAGTTATAAATTACAAATAGAAATCATATATATTTAAGGGTACAGCTTGATGTACCCTTGGATGTACATATACATTGTGTAATGATCACTACAATCAAACACATCCATCTCCTCACATGATTGCCATTTTCTTTCTTTGCTTGTTTTTCCTTGCTTGTTTACTTTGTATGGTGAATATGCTTAAGATCAAACCTCTTAACAAATTTCAAGTACATGATACACTATCAACTATAGTCACCCTGCTATGTATTAGACCTGCAGAATTTGTCCATCTTGCATACCTTTGATCAGCATCTCCCCATGTTCCCCCCGCCCCCAATCCCTGGACATTACATTCTACTCTTTACTTCATGACTTGCCCCTAGATGTGAAATCATGCAGTATTTGTTTTTCCATGTCTGGCATATTTCACTTAGCATAAAGGTTGATTAATATTCCATTGTGTGTGTAAATATACATATCACATTTTCTTTATACATTCACGCATTTTGGACATTTATGGACATCTCCATATCTTTAGCTATTGTGAATAATGCTGCAATGAACATGGGGGTGCAGATACCTCTTTGGAATACTGATTTCATTTATTTTGGATACATACCCAGAAGTGGTATTGCTAGGTCTATTTTTAAATTTGGGGAGAATCTCTATACTGTTTTCCATAATGACTGTACCAATTTGCATTCCACCAACAGTGTAGAAGGGTTCTCTTTCCTTCCACATTCTCACCAACACTTTTAAATATTTTGTACTTTTTGACAATTAGCTATTCTAGCAGGTGTATTATGATATGTTATTGTGGTTTTGGTTGCATTTCCCTGATTAGTGATCATGAGTAGTGATATTGAGTACCTGTTTATATACCTGTTGGCCATTTGTATATCTTATCTGTTATAGGATTTTATTTTTATGTAGTATCTAAACCCAACGTGGGGCTCAAATTCACACCCCAAGATCAAGAGTTGCACGCTCCACTGACTGAGCCAGACAGGCACTCTTGTGTTTCTAATTTTGAGAAACATCTGCTCTGGTCCTTTGCCCAGTTTTTAGTTGGGTTATTTGTTTTGTTTGCTCTTGAGTTGTATGAGTTCCTTACATGTTTTGGATATTACTCCCTTATACATTGTAAATTATAAAACATTGATGAAGGAAATAAAAGAAAACACAGATAAACAGAAAGGCATCCCACGTTCACGGATTAGAAGAATTAATATTGTTAAAATATCTATGCTACTTAATTGATCTATAGATTCACTGCAAACTTGCAAAATTTCAATGGTAGTCTTTATAGAAATAGAAAAAACGATCCTGAATTCATATGGAACCACAAAAGAACCTGAGAAGCTAAAGCAACCCTGAGAAAGACAAATAGAGCTGGAGGCATCACACTTCCCGATTTCAAACTATAAAACAAAGCTATTGTAATTAAAACAGTAAGGTACTGGCATGAAAACAGACATACAGGCCAAAGAAACAGAAGAGCAAGTCCAGAAATAAATCCATGCATTTACAGATATTTGATCTTCAATAAAGATGCCAAGAACACACAATGGGGAAAAGATAATCTCCTCAATAAATCACATTGAGATAACTGGATATCCACTTGCAGAAGAATAAGATTGGATCCTCATCTCACACCTCAACATAAAGGCCAGAACAGGTCTTCAACATAAAACCTGAAACCATAAAACTACTAGAAGAGAACAGAGGAAAAATGTTCCTTGACATTGGCATTGGCAATGATTTTTTTTTTTTTTGAAATGGCATCAAAAGCACAGGCCACAAAAGCAAAAACAAACAGGTGGGATTGTATCAAACTAAAATGCTTCCCCACAGAAAAGGAACAAGAGGGAGAAGGGAACCTATACAATGGGAGAAAAATGTTTGCAAAGCTCAGATCTGGTAAGGGGTTAGTCTCGAACCTTTAAGATCTTAATTTGTCTGCAACTGAAATGGAGAACCAATTGTCCCAGAACCATTTCTTGAACCATCTGTTCTTTTTGTTCAACGACTTGTAATAATATCTTGTCTCAAATGTTTCCAGTTTCTGTGTATATATGGGCCTGTTTCTGGGCTCTAGCTGACTTTGCCCGTGTGCAACATCAACACCCACACTGTCTTAGTTGCTATTGCTTTATAGTTGAGTGCTGGTACATGGTAAATTAGCAAGCCCTGCAATTCTCTGAAGTATCCTATTCATGGACCTTTGCTATTTCTTTCACTGTGATTTTTATTGTCATGAATTCAGCAGTTCTGCCTACTGTTGTATTTGCATTCACACCTAGCATATTATTTTATGGTCTTTGTTTTCCTCTTTCTTGTTTTTGTCTCACTTATCTTTTCTTTTGGATTGAATTTTATGACCTCTACCCCCCACCAACCAACGAATTTGGAAAATTTAAAATCTGTACTCTTTTCAGTGCTACCCTAGAAATGTTAACACGCATACTTATCCTAATCTAAAACTAGTTTCTTCACTTTCTTTCTCCAACAATAAGGACCCTAGAACACTATGACACTGACAACTCCTTGCCAGCCCCCTACCGCACTTCAGCATTTTAGTTCTCTCAAGTTCTTTTGCTGATACCACAAATCAGACAATTTTTTTATACCTGTTTGCTTACATTTAGTCAATCTCACCATTTCTGCTCCTCATTGGTGCTACTTGGGATTTCTAAAACAAAACAATTCTATTTAATCTTCTATTCAAAAGTTCATCTTTCTGCAAAGCTAACCTCTATCATCTTCCTTCGAACACAATTTCTCTTTAGCCACAGATCATCTCAACCCTGCAGATTCTTGAATAGTGTTCTATTATCACCAGCCTTGATTTCTGAGACTGATTTTAAGCTCAGCCAAAGTAATTGACTGATAATTATAGTTCTGAGAGTGCTACCGACCAGAACTGTATATAGCATTACCAGGGTCTGACTCATGAATAGAAATTACCTTAGACTCTTCTTCAAGCCTCAGTGAAGGCTGAGCTGCAGAGGAGGGGTAAGTGATCTTTAGAAGCACAGGGAAACTAATGCCCAGGTGTGACAGTTTATAGATCTAATGAGAAATATGGGAAACATGGGAATAATTTTAAGTCACTATTTTTATACTAGAAACATATTTGAAAAATGAAAGAAATCCTGTATGTTTATATGAAATATAAAAAATACATGAACTATTAAAAAAGTCATCTAACCTGTTACAACAGAAGTCAATACAGTGTTTTCTTTTTAGGGTACTGTATGGGAGAGATAACCAGGGGATTTGGGGGTACTAGTGATATATTACTATCTCTTGATCTGGGTGATGGGTCCCCCAGGTGTATTCATTCTAAAAATTCATCAGGCTGTAAACACAGGATTTGTTCATCTTTCTGTATACATATTATTATTGAATAAAAACTAATTTTTAGAAAAATTTTATTAATTTAACAGAGAGAGAGAGAGAGAACAAGCGTGGGGGGGAGCAAACAGAGACGGAGGGAGAAGCAGACCCCCTGCTGAGGAGGGACTCCGACACGGGGCTCGATCCCAGGACCCCGGGATCATGACCTGAGTTGAAGGCAGACTCTTAACTGATTGAGCCACCCAGGTGCCCTCGAATAAAAACTTATTAAAAAAGTAATAGGAACATAAAGATGTTGTCTTTAACTTTTTAAAGCAAACATTTTGTGCATCAGAGGTGTGGGGAGAGGGTTAAGAACCTTCATATTCACACCACTCTTAGAATATGACGAAAGAGATGCCTAAAGAATTTGCCTAACTTGTCTTATTTTGGCAATGGCCATGGTGAATTTTTAACAGAGTTTCTGTATTCATGTTTTGTAGAATGGTTTGAGGTCAAACCAACAGTGGGAGAAATTACTCTTGATCATCTTCCCAAACAAGTCTCCAGGTGCAAATATAATTCCCCGATTTCAAGGGAAAGAGTTGCTCCTGTTTTAAGTGAGTTGTTATTGTTGTTTTATTTTTACTTGTTAAGTGCATTTTTTTGTTTCTATTTGTTTCTTTAACAAAATGTTGATCTAGGCATTCAGTCTAAAACTGTGTATTAGATTGGTATGTTGGTAGGCTTTTCATAGGTGGAAGGGCCCTGTGGTCTGCTAAGTACTGGTCATCTGGTGCCCTGCCTCCTACTAAAGGGACCATTTCAGCTCTGATTTCTCTTTAAAGTAGGTGAGTCTGAAGCAGATGGAGCTCAGCAGCAGAGCTCAAAGCCCAGTTCTCTAACAGTGGGTGCTGAATCCGTCCTCAGGCAGATATTGACACTGGCATACCTAAATTTTCCAGTTGGTTGTACCCACAAGAAGCCACTTGTTTAAATCCTGGTAGTTCAGAAAGCCTTTACAGCATAGCAAGCTACAGGCCACCAGCCAAAGTCAGTCTCCTGCCCGGTTTTATATAGCCTTCAAGTTAAGAATGGCTTTCACATTCTTAAATGGTTGAAAACAAAATGTATCAAAAGAGAAATGATATTTCCTGACTCATGAACACTATATGAAATTCAAATTTTCCCGTCCATAAATAAAGTTGGACTGGCACATAGCCAGGCCTGTTCCCCATGCCTTGTCTATGGCTGCTTTTGCGCTCCAACAATGGGGGCAGTCACTGTCCTTGCCCACAAAGCGAGGTTCTAGATTTAGTGAATAATAACAAATATAACCAATACAGCTAATAATTTGGGGGACAGGTTGAGGACATCTTTTTATTAAAAATTATTTGTTGTTTATCTGAAATGCAAATGTAACTGGCTGTCCATATTTTACATGACAAACTGACCACAAAGCCTAAAATATCTACTGTCAAGACTTTGATGGAAAATATTTGGTGACCTATGCGATGGGGCATGTCTTCTAACGTGTTAAGGGACTTCATGGGAGAACAAGTGGTCTTTGTTTACATAAGGTCTGGAAAAGCAGGTCAACAGACTCCTTATAAACTTAGGATTGAATATGCTAATATGCATTGTAAATATTAAAGAGGAGGGTTACAGAACGTTTTTCAAACACTTTGATCACACATCATGATCATTTAGTTGTGTTTTGTTAATGACCTACTAAAACTACCTTTTCTCAGAATTCACTTTTCAATGTGTAGACATAGGCCAGTTTACTAAAACCTCTTTAACTCCTCACATGCCCGAGGCATGGTACTCAAGAGAACCCAACAGAATTGAGTGATGGCGTTTCTATGAGAAAGAAGTATGTATCCACAGTTTCACCTTCAGATCTGGGCACACATCCTCTCCTTCAACCTGCCTCAACCTCCTTCCAGGAGCGGCGCCTGCAGTGAAGGCTCCAGCAGGGTGGGAGCCGCAGCCAGGCTGAGGCTGAGTCGGGGGGGAGCCTTGGTTCCCTTGCCTCTCTCCCCTGAAGGCTACCTGGACCTGACTGGGGACGGGCAGCACAGGACCACTGGCTCTGACCTGCAATGGAAAGGCAGAAGGATGAATGAGTCACAGTAGGGCTCCCTTCCAGCCTACGAAACATGCTAGGTGTCCGTATTTGAAAAAAATGATGCCTATGATACTTGAATTGCTAAAGAGCAATCCTCCTTTCGGTTATCTTTTCAGAAACATCTCAAGGCCACAAAGGAGGTATTTTTTTTTTTTAGAAAAATAATGCTATCATTATTTCAGGTCAGAACTCCAACTAGATTCCTGCTTTTGCAATTTTAATCATGTATCAACGGCTATAAATAACTTCTCCCCCATTTTATTCTCTCAATGCTCTCTTTTTATGAGTCCCTCTCACTTCAGTGGTCTTTTTCTATCCTTTTCTAAGTGGACAATGGGCCATGGGAGTTCTCAGGGCAGATCAGGTTGGGAAGAAACAGACTTTTATCTTTTTTACTTCTCTCAGTTCTATTGCAGATACTTGGATTCTCTTAATCTAGGCAGAATGGAAAGGAATGAATGGTGTGAAGCTGACTTTGCTGATTATATGGATGAGAGCTCTTTTGCTAAATTTTATTTTCTTCCCAAATTTGTTCAAGGCATTCCATTTCGGTTGTTTCTAATAGAAGAGTAGAGTGATAAGTTCAGGTCAGCTAACATAACTTGAGGGTTAAGGGGAGGAGGCAAATCAGACCTAGATCACAGAATCTGGGCCCAATTTTACGAAGATTGCGCTGCACGTACTGGCACTGAAACCAAGAGGCCATTCACCTGAAAAGCTTCTAATTATCAGATAGGGTGGGTGAAAATTAATTGTAGGATGGGTCATTACCTTTGTTTTTTTCATTAACACTTAAGTTCCTCCATTTGTTTACCCACTCCTAGCATCTAGCAAACTAATGGGCCAGGGGAAAATCGATTTCTCAACTGTCACTGGCTCCTCTCGTTAGAACTCAGTAACCTGAAGAGTCTGGGCAGCTTGGATGCATCAGTGCAGAGTTCCAGAAACTCAACTATGAATTATGTGTATTCACCAAATCCAAGCACTGTGAGAATCAAGGCACTGTTGCCTCAGCTGCTTTCTGAAGCAACATCTAAAAATAATTGAGTCATATTCAGTATCAGATACACCAAAATAAGCCCTGGATATTTTAGGCACTGCTAATGACTTTTGGAAGTGGGTGACATTCAGGTTTTTTATTTATGGCTACTATAACACATGCTTTAAATATTCTGTTTACCAGGCATTTAGATGAGCCTGTGCTCAGCCTGTTGCAAATCGTTCTGCATGTTTGACATATTAGAAACATTGATCGTTGTGCAAATATTTAATAACCACAAACTGATTTTAATGTTACTTAAATATTCCAGGAAATACAGGTACTGGCGGCAATCCACTTAAAGAAATTTCTGTGAAGCAAGCTGGAAAATGTTCTTTTGAATCTATGAAATCTATCAGAAACAAGGAAAAGTAACCTTGAAAAGCACCCGTCTAATGGCTTTGAAGAAGTGATGCCATCATCTCCCGCTGTACTAAAAGGATATAATTAACCTAGTCTTGGGCTTATAAGTAAATTAAAGTGGTTTCTCATCCATAATTGGGCTGAAGAACATGGTTTTTCAATTCAAGAACCATTTATTAAACTGTGTCAGATACTGTTAAAAATACAAAATCAAACAGCACAGAATGAGCAAGAATAATTTTAAAGATACAGTTAAACATAACTCACCATGACAAGTAGATAAGTTATTTCTGGTGAATTCTGTAGGAACGGTGAATCTACTTTGTAATAGGCTGTCCTCATTAGAAATGAAAATTTCTACTACTTGGCCTGATACATATTCACACATCACATGCATTCATAATAAATGTATTCTGAATGATTATTATTACACATTGGCCCACAGAGAACCTTGTCCACCCCCATAAATAGCCTAACTTGAAACATTTCTTAAAAAACAGGTGTCCCTCCAGTTGATACTGAGTTGTGGGAAAGGAAAATTGTGCTTCACTTGGAATTTGGTTCTGTTTAGCAAGCCATTTAGTTCAATTAAAAAATTTCTACTGGTTGCCGCCACTCTCCGTACTTTTATTGGAGGGAAACCAAAACAGCTGCTATCTTGAAAGATTAATTATCTTTCATACTTTCTTATAATTTTACATTCACATTTGGAAATTTTTCTTCAACTGGAATTATTCATGTTTTTATGCTATTTCGTGAACAGCCTCGTCTGAGACTTCCAAGCTGAGTATTACTAATGCTGAATCCCATGACACGCATGTACTCGGTCAATTGTTCTGCATTTTTGAAGGCTTGGCTTTATTGGAATTTCTACCTACTGAGACTTCCACATTTAATTTCACATTCTTGGCAGGTAATATTTCATGAAAGGAAGTAAAGAGAGCCCTAATGAAATAGGATTACTTCTTGGGAGTGTGTTTAGAATCTAGTTATAGCTGAGGTAAAGGGTCCAGTTTAAATGCGTGTCTTAACCAGCTATAGGTCATTTGTCTGTTACCTTGCATTCTAATGGGACGAATCTAAAGTAGAAAATTATGAGAATAATCTCCAACCCATAACATATGGGAAACCTTAGGAAAAGGTTATAGAAACAAGTCTTCTGAACATTGGCTGGGGAAAAGATCCAGGGAAGAGGATTCGATTTGGGTAAACAGTCATATAAAAAGTTTCTTTATTCCTCTCTTGACTGCATGTTCAATCTCCTGAAAAAGCTAATTGCTCATGGCCTGACTATGGTAAGTTCCCAACACTCCCCGTGGGGCCTAGGGAGAGCTGTGGAAAATATGAAATAGTCTTACAAGTTTCATTTCATAGTGAATAAGTGAAGGACGCAAGTATAGTCAAAGTAGGTGACTTCAAGAGCTTCTTGAAGATGAGTTGTGTTAAGAGAGGCCAACACTACAGCTGTATCTTGGGAATGCCATTGCTTCACAGCGGATCCTTGGTGGACGGAGCCAAGGAGCTTTCCTAGGAGCTACAGCAGCTCTTACAGGAGGAAGTTTTCAATCAATCGGTAGACCGCTTATCACGGAATGGAAACCTCTGTGATGCACTGTTTGTATTCATTAATAAGCTTTTTCCCTCTTATACTAATTTGGGGGTTTATCGTAGTCAGTGTTTCCTACAAGTGGAGAATCATCCTCCTCAACAGTCCAAAGTGATTCTTCAAGGATCCCAAGTAAGGTAATAACCCAGGTGGCCAGCTCAGCCCTTCACAGCTCTGATGACTCTGACCCAGCACTTAACGGAGAAACAACGTTCTCTCAATGGTGGTTTTGGGGACATGACTGATGCTCAGCTTAGCAGTTAACTCTGTCATATTTGGTTTTAATGCAGTAGTTACTGAAATTTAAGGGACCTGAAATGCATTCATACCTATATACATAAAAATCTAGATAGAGAACTACATGCCTATATACAAAAAAATCTAGATAGAGAACTACACAGTCCTATGGTATTTAAATGTAGCATAAAAGTACTTTCTTCAGTTATTCAGGAATAAATGTGTCAAAGATATGGTATAATAAACACTTGTTAATAGAGCTAAAACTATGATGATATGTTCTGTATCACTGCTACACCATATAAGAAATCCTAGATTTTACAAACAAATGGTGAGGTTTTTACTATAATCAGAATGTCTTTTGACTTAAGACTGAAAAAGTGTCAATTTTCCTATTCTAAAGAAAACAAAACACAAGTCATTGCTTTAATGCAACCATGTTCCTGAATACCTCTGGATGATTTCATGGAAATATAATAAATAAATAAATAAATAAATAAATAAATAAATAAATAAATAAATAAATAAAATTTGATTGACATAAAAATCATATTTTCACAAGATATAACTCATTTTGATGTTGCAATTTTGTTAACCACCTGGTAATTTTTATAGGCAAAATATCTTTCCAATCCTTTTAAAACCACTGTCTAATGAGACTTCTTTCATAAAAGCATATTTAAACTTGCAAAATAATTTGTCCACATTATTAGTAATATAAAGCTCTTCTAGTAGTAAAATAAGTTCATATTATTTGTTTGGGTTTTCATGCATAGGAAATCTAACCATGGGAAAACCTTTTATAAATTTTTAAAAATTGCTTTGTTTTTCATATTAAGGCACAATAGATGCAGACTGACATGGTCAAATAACACTTATAGTTCTATGAAGAATCAATAGTTATAGTTAATAGTAAGGTATAGAACATTGTAGAAGTCAAAGAATAACAATTATATTTGAATCAATCCAATTTAGATTTTAGACAAATTGGGTTACTCCTCTATTGTCTTCATGTGCTAAAGAGTTATTTGAGTTTTTCGTGGTTTATACATAAAATATTTTCCCGCATTCATTTAAAATGCAAAAGAAGGAAACAATCATTTATATATGTATAATTTAAGCTCAACGGATCTTTCAAAGTAAAGAACAAAAGATAGGCTTCTTAATCTATTTTAAAACAAAATAAAGAGAACTATAATAGAATTTCAACTGCTATTTTTAAGTGAAAAGGTTTTTACTACATATATGCTAATTAAAAATCCTCCTCCTCTAAAAAAATCTGAGTTACGCACATCACTAAGGATTAAAAAAATACTTCACACTATCAACATGTCACATACATTCTCTTCTATAATGTTAACTAAATTTTTTTTCTTATAAAATAGACTTTAGGCCTGTCATGTCTTTTTGAGGAGTTAGAGCCCGTCAACACAATAGATATATACATAATGTATACTCTTTTCTGTTTTAAGAAGCTTGTTTAAGAAAATTTTAAAATTATTTTAAATGCAACAAGTTTTAAGATAATATAAACCACAATTATTCCAATTATATGAGCTCACTCTTTAAACAAAAACATTATAAATTCTGTAAAACAGCTTGAGTATCAAAGTACTGTTCTTCCCAGTAACACATTAATTTTATAGACCACAAAGTCAGAACTCTAGTACAATTGAAATAACTTGCAGTCATGCCTCAGGCTTTTTTTTTTAATAGTTTTACTCTTTTAATTAATATTTTAAAAATTTGAATTTATAATATACTCCAAATTTCAATATAGTTCTAGAAATTTATTTGAAGCTAATTTTATCAGATAAATTATGTTAATATAAGTTGAATAGAAATAACTGTAAATATTAAATACATTAATCAAAACTAATATCCATACACACTAAATATCTTTTAAAATAGTCAATTATCATCAAATGTAAATTCCCATACAGATTTAACTGCATTTGTGTTTTTACATCTTAATGTCTGTTATGGTTATATAACCTATTCCTTTATAATTGGACATTTAATTTCAGCTAAAAAACTTGGCAATGTTTTCCTTTAAAAAATAACTCAGAAGTATTTTGACTGTGTATCCATGTGTTGACAGATGTTAAACTGGAAACTTTTATTAAATATGAACTGAAACTACTGATTTACTATATACTTTATGGAGGACAGTATGGGTGTTTGTTAACTTGAAGATCGTCATACATGCATTATATTCTGGTAGCTCAAGAACACTCAGTCATTCCAATAGTCATCAAATACTCATTCAATGTCAAGCACTATTCAAGGTGTTGCATTATTTTCTATGTTTCAGTGTTTCAACAATATAATATTTTGGTACTTTTTAATGAAACTTTGGTACCTTTGTGAAGCTTATATATGCTCTTTTAGATTCTTCTTTTATCTTTCTCCCAAATATGGCTATTCTATTTTATAAAGGACACATCTAGTTTTCCTTGAAATTATATAAATATTTTATTTTTTTGAAGTTAATTTATAAAGTCAACTCTTATTCCCCACCTTCTCCTTCTCCCCTCAACCTCTGGCTCTTGGACAGCAAAGGCAAAGGTAATACTAACCCACAAAAGGTCTTTAAAAAAACAATTAAACAAGGAGAAACATTTTCTGTCAAAATGGGTTGAGTCGTATTCCAGTCCCTAAAGGTGAGAACGGGTTCACCTTTGCCCACATCAAAGCGTCATTCAATGAGATAGTGGATTTCCCATCTTCAAGGAAAAATACAGGGCCCTGTGCAGAGTTGAGGAAAGAGAAGATGGGATTATAAATTTGCAACATGCTTTAAACCTACAGAAACAGAATCCCTTTAATAATAATAGTAAAGACACTGGCAATATTTAGACAATGGTAATAGGAAATTTTAATATATGAGAAAAATCAGATTTTTTGAACTGCTACCAAATATAGAAAAAAAATGTAGATATGTTAACATTATGCCCCAATGTCTTTTAAAATAGAATTTGGTTTCATAATCTGAATTCTTTGAGTACAGTAGGGCTACCAATGGCAAAGGTATTGCCAATCCATTAATTAATACAAAGTTAACATTTTATAAAGGTATCTATGCCTAGCATAGAATTAAATACACTTTACTATTTTAATCATAGAGCCTCTATCAGATTGCAGGGGAAATGATTTAAGCCAGAAGCTC